ATAAAACAAGCTTAAAGGGATACAGCTAGAGCCTCGTGGTACCATTGCAAATCTTGTGCCGGCAATGGCCCACTTTCTCTCTTGAAAGGGTACCATACTAATCCACTCTATAAACTCTATTTCCCCATTCTGGTCTCAGGTCTTTCAATCTTTGGTTCATCTGGGACAAGAATGAGAGGCCCAGGAACAAACCTATTTCTTTATTTAAAATAACAAATGATAATTATTTCAATCCTGCCCTCATGAATTTATCACGGTTCTAAATCTTCAGCATACTTGATTGTCTTATTTAGAGGGTACTTCAACAGTTTTTCCATACCTGAGATATTAAAGTTACACCAAGGCTGTCCACTTGCATTCTGGTGTGCAATAATGAAACCTTAGATCACAAAGTTATTTCTCCCATTTGTAAGCAGGCATGTGCATGTAGAAGTCAATAGCAGGCCTCATTCATTTTCACCACTTACATTTCTGCACTACGCATTCACCAGGCAATACACTTTATCATTAATTTGCACAAATCAAGAGACCTTCAAGAAAATGTGTTTGTAATATTACAATAATCTGTGGTATTTCAATTTTTCCACATTTCACATGATGGAAAATAATAATTACAAAGTCATTATCTCCTTCCAGAACAATAGTCTGGAGGAAAAGGTGCGTGTCATCTTGGTCTCAGTCTGGAGCTCATTTCAATCAGCTCAGGCGGGCTGCATTTTTAAAGACAGCACTATTAGTTGTCTCATTTGTTACAACCACTCTTTGCAATTCCCACATCTGTCAGAGTCCATATAAATAGCCCCCTAGAGGAAGCAGATGTTACAAAGTTATAATTTAGATGTTTGTTTTGACTTTTAGACAAAATCTGGACAGCAAACATCCTGCTCTGTTAAGTAGCATTATCAAATGCAAATGGTTGATGAATTTCTTTTATTAGTTTGTTACTGCTTTTGAAATGCTTATCTCCATAATTAGTACTAGGGAAAACATAATATTCTTAGAATGCTTAGCCTTTAAATAGACAGAGAAGGAGAGAGGAATAGAGGGAAGGAAGTAGTGGGTCAGGGAGGGATGGAGGGATGTGATAGATAGCTGATAGACATGATAGCTAGATAAAATAGATGAGATAAATTTAAATAGATATTAATATATCTGAAAGCCAAGTGTGAATTGAATGATAATTATATAATAATGGTCAATTGATTTAACAACATACATAAATATTTGATTTACCCAGAACATATTACACCATTCATAATATTTTAATCAAAATAAAAATATTAGGTATTGATTACTGAAGGAAGAAGATAGACTTCTGCAAAATGTTAAATTAAGTTTTTGGTTTTAATTTTATTTTGATTTTTACTTGGTTTATACAGCTTCTGTAAGCCTATACCTATTATTTCTAAAGAAATAATGGCAGGCTAGGAAGCTTATTAATTTTCACACTGTAGAATCTTCTATTTTTTAAGTTTATTTATTTAAGAAAGAGAGCAAGCATGAGCAGGGGAGGAGAAAAGATAGAGGAAGGGAGGGAATCCCAAGCAGGCTACATACTGTCAACCTCCTTCCCACAAACCATGAGATCATGTCCTGAGCTGAAATCAAGAGTTAGCCATTCAACAAACTTGAACCACCCAGGTAGAATTTTCATTTCACAGCTTATATATTAATTTACAAAATACAAAAAAGTAAGAGAACTAAATTTAATTTTTACTTTGATATATCAGTAGACACATATTCAGCTTAATCCTTAGCAGATATCCTATGATGATGATGTTAATGATGATTACAAAAGGAAGACACAGAACACAATAAATAAACAAAGATTAGGATATGCCCTTTACTGTAAAAAGAATTTTTTTTCTGAAGTGATTTTGGTGTATCAATATCCAAAAGTAAATTTTTCCCTATTTTAGAATTCCAAAACATAAGTTTATTCTGCTTATATAATATTAGCCCTACTATAAATGTAATGAAAATATTAAAGCTACAGTGAATTGTCTATATATTCTTCTTGTTTTCCTAAGTAGAAAAATAAAACTTATTTTTTTCTACTAAATTTATAGAAGGTGGCATGATTTTTTTCTACAATGAATGAAATCTGCACTTCATTTTCTTAATTCTTCTAAGCTAGGTTAAATGTTATTCTATCACATAAAAATGAGAAAATCTCATCCTCTTTGCCTGTAAGTGAATATGAAACTTTATAAAACTATTTGCGATTTTGTCAGTTACTAAAAAAGGAATAAAAATTATAAAGTATTTCATATTTCTACGATACAAACCAAATCTTATGCACATGTACGTTATGTCATATATTCAATTGATTTTGAAAAATTTTCTTTAAAACAGGGGTTACATTTTAATAACACAAATTTGCAGGATGTTATCAATAATTGTTAAGTTCTTTGTTTCTCCCAATTCATTAATATGATCATGATATAAATATGATACTTAAAATAATGACTTATATTGTTATGCCCGAATCTCGAGTCCCCAGAGACCTCCAAGGAGCCAGCACCAATGCAAGAACAAAAGGGTCTTTATTACAAGCTCGAGCAGGGGCTCACCCGTCTACTGGCACAGCAGCAGGAAAGTGAAGCCCCGACCAGTGGCAAGCAGGGTTTTTATGAAGGAAGGGCGGGGGTGTTACCGTGCACACATTGGACGTTTTGCATCATTACATAAGCACCAGTCATAATTGTACAATGCCCATAGTAACAGCATAGTAACAGTTGTGACCATTCAGTATCTTCAAGGCATCCGTTACATTTGGCGGGACCCAATCATGACCTTTGAGAGTCTTTTAAAAGGACCCATTATGAGGTGGGCTCAGAGAATCTACGTGGGGCTTCTGCAAGCGGTGATTGATTGGCAAGTTTGTACAAAGTAACTACCTGCAGTTCCCAGCCCTGACTCGTCTCCAAGACTACAGGAATGTTACACATTTCTTTTGATTGGCAGATCCGAGGGCGGTCCGAGGGTGGCTTCAGCTGAGGCTTCTCCTGGAACAGGGACTACGTGCAGCCTGAGGTTGTTTCTAGCTTGTAATAAAGACCCTTTTGTTCTTGCATTGGTGCTGGCTCCTTGGAGGTCTCTGGGGGACTCGAGATTCGGGCATAACATTTGGTGCGTTGGCCGGGAACCCCAAAACCCCCAGGATCCCCAATCCGAAGGGTCAATCCACAGGTAAGAAACTGTTTGTCTCTGTTTGTCTAGTCTGTCAATTCTATGTTCTGTGTTCTGGTGATCCCGGGTAAAGTTGTTTCTGGAGATGGTCAATTACAGTCAGGCGGAAGCGCCATGGGACCATGACCACGGGGGATCCTGTCTGAAGACGTTCCAGGCCCCCATTGGGGTTCGAGGCCCCATCGGCAGGGGGTTCGAGGCCCCTATCTGTGGAGGGGACCCTGTGCCCCTATTTGTGGAGGGGACTCTGTTCCCCTATCTGTGGAGGGGACTCGGCGCCCGTATCGGTGGAGGGAACCCCTATCTGTGGAGGGGACTCTGAGCCCCTATCTGTGGAGGGGACCCTGTGCCCCTATCTGTGGAAGGGACCCTGTGCCCCTATCTGTGAAGGGGACTCGGCGCCCCTATCGTGGAAGGGATTCGGCGCCCCTATTGGTGGAAGGGACTCAGTGCCCCTGACTTCAAAGGAACTCTGCGTCTCACTTTTCTGATTGCCCCTCTCTTAGGTGGAACTTGGTAAAAGGCAGAGCGAGTTGCCACCAGGAAACCGATGTCTCACTTTTCTGATTGCCCGTCTCTTAGGTACAACTTGGTAAAACCGGCCCGGTATCTCACTTTTCTGTTGTCTAGCCTTCTGTGTCTGTCTCTCTGTGACTGTCGATTTTCTCTGTTGGTGTTCACCACCTTGTGACTGAGACTGACGCTATGGGACAGACTTCATCCAAACCCCTAGACTTAATGCTAGCCCATTTTGGAGAGGTTAAAAAACAAGCTCATAACCTCTTGGTGATTATCAGGAAAGGTTCATTCCGAACTTACTGCAGCTCAGAGTGGCCTGCTCTCAATGTAGGATGGCCACCAGAAGGGACTTTCGACCGCCATACCATTCAGAAGGTCGAGGATCAGGTTTTCCAACCCCGAACAGGGCGTCCAGACCCAGTCCCGTACACTGAGGTTTGGGCCGGTCTGGTTGATGACCCACCCCCTTGGATTAAAAGTTTCTTGCCTCCACAGAGACTTGGGGTCCTGGCAGTAGCTGAAAAGCACCTGCCCTCCTGAGCTTCGGAGACGCCGAAAAAGGAAACTAAACCCTCTGCGCCGCTGTACCCTATCTTACAGAGCGGAACAGAGGAAGAATTAATTTTTCCCCCTCCTTATCTAACCCCTCCACAGGGCCCAGCAGGAGGGACACCACCTGAATCGCTGTCGTCCCCTGCCCCAGCGGCCCCAGCGGCCCTGAGGTCGGCAGAAATGGGCCCCGCCCAAGGGACCCGAAGCCGCTGTGGAATGACGCCTGAGGGACCGGACTCTACTGTCCTGCCCCTGAGGGCCACGGGCCCCCCTGATGATAGGGGCAACCAGCCCCACCATTACTGGCCCTTTGCGACAAGCGATCTGTACAATTGGAGGTCCCAGAATGCACCATTCTCAGAGAATCCCCAGCCCTTATTAACCTATTAGAAACTGTTCTGTTCACTCATCAGCCCACCTGGGATGATTGCCAGCAATTGTTGCAGATCCTGTTCACTACTGAGGAGCAGGAAAGAATCCAGTCGGAAGCCAGGAGATTGGTTCCTGGGCCCACTGGAGTTCCCACTACTGGCCAGGCTCGAATTGACACTGGGTTTCCCCTGGCACGGCCAGATTGGGACTACAACACGGCTGAAGGTGAGGAGAGTCTCTTGGTCTACCGCCAGACTCTGTTGGCAGGTCTCAAGGCTGCGGCTCGCAAGCCTACTAACATGGCTAAGGTATATAATGTCAGTCAGGGACCCGAGGAAAGCCCCGCGGCATTCCTTGAGTGAATAATGGAGCCATTCTGCCAGTACACCCATATGGATCCTGAGGCCCCAGCAAACCTAGCTGTGGTGGCCATGGCTTTTATCAATCAGTCTGCTCCCGACATTTGGAGAAAATTTCAGAAATTAGAACGTCTAGGAGAAAAGAGCCTCCAAGATCTAGTGATTGTGGCAGAAAGGGTATATAGCAACAGGGAAAGTGTAGAGGACAAACGGATAAGAGCTGAGAGGAGACAAAACCAGGGCTTGGCCGAGATCCTACTCGCGGCAACTGCAGAATCGGAGGACCAGAGAAGACGCCTCACCTCAAGCAGTTGGCTTTAGGAGAAAAAGGTAAGGAAAACTCCCAATGGGTTGGAGGGTGCCCCCGCTTGGGCAAAAATCAGTGTGCCTACTGCCAAGAAGAGGGATATTGGTCTAGAGAATGTCCCAGAAGGAAAAAATCTAATGCTCCCATTCTAGTAATGGGAGATGATAGTGACTAGGGGAGACGGGGCTCGGCACCCCTTCCCGAACCCAGGGTAACCCTAAAAGTGGAGGGGAAGTCCACCGAGTTCTTAGGGGACACTGGGGCTCAACATTCTGTGCTCCAGCAACCAGCTGGCCCCCTGTCAAACAAGACATCATGGGTCCAGGGGGCCACAGGGATGAAGCAGTATCCATGGACTACCCGAAGAATGGTGGACCTTGGTGTAGGCTGGGTATCCCACTCCTTTATGGTCATCCCAGACTGCCCTTGCTAGGCCCCAATCTGCTGACCAAGCTGGGAGCTCAGATTCATTTTTCGGCCGAAGGGACTAGGGAATTAGACCAGGCTGGGCAGCCAATACATGTACTCACTTTGGGGCTGATGGACGGATATCGCCTGCATGAGGCGCCACTGACACCAGATGCAGGGATCCAACCTTGGCTCCAGCAGTTCCCATCAGCGTGGGCTGAGACTGGAGGCATGGGGTTAGCAAAGCATAGGCCCACGGTGTTCATGGAACTGAAGCCTGAGGCAGACCTGGCCCGGGTCCGCCAATACCCCATGTCCCTGGGAGCCAAAAAGGGCAACAACCTAGCAGACCAAGCAGCCAAGCAAGCTGCTCTTAGGGCCAATCATACCCTGGCCGTTACCCTGGTTGACCCTGGAGACCCTACTCTCCCTAAAGTCCCCTAATATAGCAAAGAAGGTTTACAATGGATCAAAAAGCTGCCTATGACCAAATACCTAGAAGGATGGTATAAACTGGCAGATGACAAACTCATCCTCCCTGAAGATCTAGGGATGAGAGCCCTGACCAAGATACACCGTGCCTCCTATATGGGAATCAAAAGAATGCAAGATGTAGTTCGCCATGCTAAGATAAAAATCAGAGATGCTAACTCTAAGATTGGACAGATTGTGGCCAATTGCAAGGCATGCCGACTCACTAACGCCATGAAAAATCCTTACATCCGGTACCTGCCTGAGAGGAAGACGACCCGGAGCCTACTGAGACAGACTTCGCTGAGGTAAAATCAGGACTATATGGGTACAAATATCTACTAGAGTTTATAGATACTTTTTCGGGATGGACTGAGGCATATCCCACTAAACACGAGACTGCACAGGTGGTGGCAAAGAAACTGCTAGAAGACATCTTACCAAGGTATGGATTTCCTCAGATGATAGGTTCAGATAATGGACCGCTTTCGTGTCCAAGGTAAGTCAGAGCCTAGCCACGACCCTGAGGATTGATTGAAAATTATACTGTGCGTAAGGACCGCAGAGTTCAGGACAGGTGGAAAAAATGAATAGAACCCTAAAAGAGACCTTAACTAAATTGACCTTGGAGACTGGCGGAGACTGGGTGGCTCTCCTTCCCTTTGCACTCTATGGGGTGCACAACTCCCCCTACCAGATAGAATAAACTCCTTTTAAAAACATGTCTGGCCTATCCAAATAGAATGCATGATTACTAAACATAAGTTTGAGTTTTCAGCTTCCTGTTGTAAAGAAAGTAAGACTATTTGGACCCTTTGAAAAACATGGTTTATGCTTAATTGGTTTCTGAATTTACCACCTCTCAATTGGTTACTAAGTCCTCAATTGGAGACTAAGGTATCCTAAGTTAAAATTCTGCTAAGTGTACTTAAGACTGATGGAAAATAAGGAAAGAAACCCTGTGCATAAGAAACTCAGAGATACATAAAAAGATGTAAGAAATGGAAATACATTTTTGTTAAGGGTAAAAGAAAGTAATTTTGTCCTAAATAAGACTGGTTGTTCAGAGAGAAATGGTTTTGGGACAAAGTTTAAAGGCAAAGGAAAGGTGTAGAAGGTCCGTGAAGGGAAATCTTTGAAAAGGAATTTTATGTGTGCTCAGGATAGACTAAGGTTGAGATCTATAATCCAATTTAGGATGCACTTTATAACTTCCTAAAGTTTTAACAAAATTCCCAGGATTTGAATAATAAAAAAGGTCATTTGGCCAATTAGGCCCTTTTTATTTGAGATGCTAAGTTACTTGGAAAAGCACTGTGTACAACAGTAAGCCTTGGGTTGTATTGCATGGGTAAATGCTATAACTGCCCAAATATATATGCAAATCCCAAAGTTTTAATGTTTTGGTATAGGGTTATCATGTAATATTCTGATTACTTAAAATATTATATGTCACAAAAATAACTGAATTTCTCTGTCAATTGCATTATACTGGAACTCTCATCAAATCGTTAACAATGTCCATCTGAGGTTTTGTCATTTAAATAGATTGCTTGCCTTCATGCAAGAACGTCTGGGGGCAATACAACCCATAATACTTAGGTCCCAGTACCACCGCCCTAATGATGGGGACCCGACAGAAGACCCATGATTGGGCCTTCAAATACACAAGAGAAGGGGGAAATGAGGAGCCTGAAATTAAGTCCTCCATTAGAAACAACCTCAGGCTGCACGGAGTCCCCGTTCCAGGAGAAGCCTCAGCTGAAGCCACCCTCGGACCGCCCTCGGATCTGCCAATCAAAAGAAATGTGTAACATTCCTGTGGTCTGAGTCAGGGCTGGGAACTGCAGGTAGTTACTTTGTACAAACTTGCCAATCAATCACCGCTTGCAGAAGCCCCACGTAGATTCTCTGAGCCCACCTCATAATGGGTCCTTTTAAAAGACTCTCAAAGGTCATGATTGGGTCCCGCCAAATGTAACGGATGCCTTGCAGATACTGAATGGTCACAACTGTTACTATGCTGTTACTATGGGCATTGTACAATTATGATTGGTGCTTATGTAATGATGCAAAACGTCCAACGTGTGCACGGTAACACCCCCTCCCTTCCCCCATAAAAACCCTGCTTGCCACTGGTCGGGGTTTCACTTTCCTGCTGCTGAGCCGGTAGACAGGTGAGCCCCTGCTCGAGCTTGTAATAAAGACCCTTTTGTTCTTGCATTGGTGCTGGCTCCTTGGAGGTCTCTGGGGACTCGCGATTTGGGCATAACAAAAACGGGTGCCTGGGTCTCAGTTGGTTAAGTATCTGTCTTCGACTCAGGCCATGATCTCATAATTCATGGGTTTGAGTCCCGTGTTGGGGCCTGTACTGACAGTTCAGAGCCTGGAGCCTGCCTTAGATTCTATGTTTCCCTCTCTCTCTGCCCCTCCCCTACTTGTGCTCTGTCTCTCAAAAATGAATAAATGGTAAAAAAATAAGTAAAATAAAATTTGAAGAGATTTTTAAGATTATATGAGAAAATATCAACAGTATTGTGTTGAAGCCACACTAAGAAGACAAGACCGTAATAAGTAACCATTATATAATAAACGGTTAATATATAAATGGTTAATAAATAAATAATATTTATTATTATTTTAAATAAATAATATTATTTTTTAAATAAATTGTTTATTTATTTTTTTAATATATTTATTTAAATATATTTATTTTATATTTTATATTTTATATTTTAAATAAATTATTTATTTAAATATTATTATTTAAATAAATAATAGTGTTGAGGTTGCCTGGGTGGCTCAGTCAGTTAAGCGTCTGACTCTTGGTTTCGGCTCATGTCATTATCTTGGGGTTCGTGAGTTTAAGCACCACTGTCTGGAATTCTCTCTTCTTCTCCTTCTCTCTTTGTCCCTTCCACCCCCACAAAAATAAATCAATAAAATAAACCTAAAAAAATAGTGTCTAATGTTTTTCATAGTAATGTACTTTCCTAAATTCTAAAAGCTATTGCCATAATATTGTTCATAATATCCTCATATTACCTGCTTCATTTCTACTGCTTTTTAAAAAATACTTATTTTCTTTAGAGAGGGAGAGGGAGAGAGAGAGCACAGGGAAAAACAGAGAGAGGGAGAGACTGAATCACAAGCAGGCTCCATGCTGCCTACCCAGAGCCCCACCATGGGGCTCAAGGTCATAAAACCAGGAGATCATGACCTGAGACGAAATCAAGCCAGTCGCTTAACCGACTGAACCACCCAGGAATCCCATTACTCCTTGTTTTTATGATTTATTTCCCATTCCTGGTATAGTTTACTTGTCATTCTTTCTTTAATTACCGCATTTCATAACTTCTTTTTTTTTAAAAAAATGTATTTCTGGGGCGCCTGGGTGGCTTAGTCGGTTAAGCGTCCGACTTTCGCTTAGGTCATGATCTCGCGGTTCATGGGTTCGAGCCCCGCGGCGGGCTCTGTGCTGACTGCCAGCTCAGAGCCTGGACCCTGCTTCAGATTCTGTGTCTCCCTCTCTCTCTGACCCTCCCCTGCTCACGCTGTCTCTCTCTCTCTCTCCTAGAAATATATAAAAATATTTTTTAAAAATGCATGCATATTCTAAAAATATATATATATATATTTCTTACAATACAAATAAATTATTTTTGGAATAAATAAGGAATGTGTAATTCATGGTATGTATCACAGTAAGTAGCCGTCTCATTCAGTATTTTGCTGCTCACATAATATATTATGCAATCATTGCAATCTGGTTTAATAATCATAAATATATTAACAGTATGACAACCAGAATCCTAGTGTATATATATCTTTTTAATATTCACATCTCCAATTCATTTCTTTTATTACCTACATTTTATAATTAAAATTATAACATTACAGGGCACCTTGGGCATCTCAGTTGGTTAAGTCTGAATATTGATCCTGGCTCAGGTCATGATCTCACAATTTGTGAGATCATATCGAGCCCTGCATCAGGCTCTGTGCAAATAGTTGGGAGCCTGCTTTGGATTCTGTCTCCCTTTCTCTCTGCCCCTCCCCCGCTCAAGCTGTTTCTTTCAAAATAAATACATAAACTTTAATTTGTTTAATGTTTATTTACTTTTGAGAGAAAAAAACAGAGAGATAGGTTGTGAGGCAGGCAGAGGCAGAGAGAGAGGAAGACATAGAATCCAAAGTAGGCTCCAGGCTCCACACCCTCAGCACAGGTCCTGACACAGGGCACAAACTTACTAACCATAAGATCATGACCTGAGGTGAAGTAGGATGCTTAACTGAAGGAGTTACCCAGATGCCCCTAAATAAATAAACTTTAAAAAATAAAATAAAATTAGAACATTAAATTCAGTGTGGTTAAGACACTGAACTCATATTTAAAAATTGCCATTATATTGCTCTATTTCTATTTCTGGCAGTATTTTATAAAAGCTTTAACACTCATTCAGTAATGTTAATTTTTAAATTAACATTGTCCAGATTTGATAAAGTATGCTATATAATTTTTCTTTTTGTACAGTATTTTCAAGAACTTATTAAACACTTGAAATCCTCATTTGTTGAATGAATTCTTGTTATATTTCACCATTATTATTCTAAGGAATTCACATTTGTCTTATTTACCTGCTTTTGAAATCCTTTTTTTGTTTGTTTGTTTATTTTTTGAGAGAAACAGCATGAAGGGAGGAGGGGCAGAAAGAGGAGAGAGAAAATCCCAAGCAGGCCCTACGCATTCCGTGTGGAACCTGATGTGGGGCAAAAATCCATGAACCATGAGACTATGGGCTGAGCCTAAACCAGGAGTCAGCCACTCAACCAACTGAGCCACCCAGGGCCCTTGAAATCCATATGTATATCATTAGTATTAGTACTCTGGTTGACATAATAATTATTATAAAATTTCATTACCTATTTCATTTATCTTATGGTTAAATTTTTTATAAAGCATTTAAAATTAA